GTTTCTGTGGATCGCTCTGCTCTTCATTGTTTGGCTTCTATTGGCCTGAATTTGTAAATCAATTTTAATAAAGTTCACGTAATTTACTATTTGTAAACACTTTGCGCACGTAATTGATTGCAACACCTTTTCATTGCAAAACTGTTTCCTTTTCCTTTTGGGAGAAAATCTCGTGAATTGAAAACAACGAGAAATGGTTTGTATTTTGACTCAATTTAATCCCAATTAACGCTTAATTCTGACGACAATTAACTGATTCTCTGACAGTCGGCTCACAAGACGTTCCGAATAAAGCGCAAACTGGCGAAGAAGCAGAAGCAGAACCGTCCGGTCCCGCAATGGATCCGCATGAAGACCGGGAACTCGATTCGCTATAACGCCAAACGCAGACATTGGCGCAGAACTAAACTCAAACTCTAATTGTTTTTAACAACGCTTTTGTCATGTTTTGAATTGAATTAAAACTTACGTCTCTTTAAAAAAAACTACACGTGTTTCTCATTACTGAAGTCGCGCTCAGCTGAGCGTCCATTCCATTCAAACCATTGTCTCATTGTTAGCGCGAAATCTCTTCTCGAATTCGACATTAAGATCGAATGGCATTAATGATTGCATGAATGCGCCGAACATTCGGTCCGTTTGGAAAGGCGTTGGGATTCGCGCCGCGCATAGAAAGGGCCCAAATGTGTGCTTTGTTTACAAACACAATGTTAGCGATGGAGAGAAGAGAAGAGGAATTGATTCGAAAAGAGAATTGTTTTCTTCGAAAGGAATGTCAAAAATATAAGAAAATAATCTTTTTGTTGAACGAAATGAACGTTTTGAGCGAAAACACGTTTTTTCGGTGTAAATGTCATTCAATTTTCGACACTTTTCTCAACAAATGGTTTCAATTCGGACAACAATTACAAGAGTTGAAAACGCGAGACGAGGTGTGCGACCCGTGGCCGCAGAAGGACGCGACGGAAGTGATAGAAATGGTCGCGAATTGCAAACAATTGTTGAGCAAAAGAGAGCCGAAGAGGAAAGCGAAACGAAAGGAACGGAAATCGGAGAAAGAGAAGAAAGAGAACGAAAAACAAGTGTTTTTGTCGCGAACCAAACGTCTTCAGTGCCAATGGGTTCGCATCTTGTGTCCATTGAGTTCATATTCATTGTCTCTCTCTCTCCCTCAGCCCGGGTGCGACGCCATGTTCAGAGACCGCGAGGATCTCGAGAATCACAAGTGGAGACACACCGGCAACAAGCTGTACGCGTGCGACTGGCCAGGTATGTGCTGTTGTGCGCCGTCGCCCGCCTTAACCCTTTCCATCCACAGGCTGTCAGAAGAGCTTCTCTTCGCGCTGTTATCTCAAGAAACACCACTCGACGCACGAGAACCCGCACGTCTTCAAGTGTCTGCACCAACAATGCCAACACGCGTTCGTCACGAGCGCCGAACTCAACGCCCACTTCGCCGAACACCACTTCGCGCGCAAACCCTTCCGATGCGTGAGTCAATACAATAGTCACGTGACAATAGTCTCACCCTCTCTCTCTCGCAGGAGTTCGCGGATTGCGGCCAAGAGTTTGCTGTGAAGCGGAACCTGAAGGACCACCAAATCGTGCACATCGACGAGAAGCGCTTCACGTGCGACTGGCCCGGTAGGTGTTC